TAAAAGAAAGAAAAGCAGTATATCAAAGAGGTATCTGTACTTCTATGTTTATTTTAGCACCATTCACAATAGCAAAGATACGGTATCAAACTAAGTGTTCATCCATGGATGAATGGATAAAGAAAATGTGGCATATATACACAATATACACAAATACTATTCAGCCACAAAAAAATGAAATCTCATCATATGCAGTAACATGAATGGAACTGGAGGTTATTATGTTAAGTGAAATAAACCAGGCACAGAAAGACAAATATTGTGTGTTCTTACTCATTGTGGAACCTAAAAAAGTGGATCTCATGGAGGTAGAAAGAATGATAGTTACCAGGGGCTGGGAAGGGAAGGTGGGAGAGGGGGATGAAGAGAAGTTGATCAAGGGGAACAAAAAAAATACAGTCAGAAGAAAGAACAAGTCTTAGTATTCAATAATACGGTAGGGAAATCATACTTAACAGTAATTTATTGTACACTTCAAAATAACTGGAAGAGAAGACTTGTCCCAAAAACAAAGAAAAAATGAGTGAGGTGAGGGATATTCCAATTATCCTGATTTGATCAATACATGCTATAAGGTCTCAGAATATCACATGTATCCCCTCAAAATATGTACAATTATTATATATCAATTAAAACAAGATAAAAAATAAAAATGTAAAAAGTTACCAATTACAGTAATTTCAAAATATATCAAATACTTGGGAATAAATCTAACAAAGGTATCTTTGCACAAAAATATAAAGCATTATTCAGAGACACTGGGACCTAAATATATGAAAAGAAATACAATGATCATGATTTAGAAAACTCAATAGTATAAAGAAATCAGCTCTCAAACTGACTGAGATTCCAAAATTTCTAAGAAAAAACTCAATAAAGGGAAATATGTGTATTTACTAGATAACCAAAAAAACTCATAATAAACACTAGAATAATTAAGACAATTTCTAGTAGCTTTGCTCTTTATATGTGCAGCCCATTTCCTAGCTAACATTTATTGGAGATCCCCCCCAAATCTTTTGAGGAGCTTCCTTCTGCACATATCAGTAGGAAAAGGGTAGCCCAAAAGTGGGCAATAGAACAGGTATGTCATAAAAAAGGATATTCAGATATTCAATTAACTCTGGGAAAGATACAGAGAAGTCAAACAAAACTAACATTTTCTTTCTTTTTTTTTCTTCTCTGGTTCATCAGCATCATCAATAATTCCCAAAGAAAAGTGAAATTCATGGCAGTTATCAAAATCAAGGAAGAAAATCAACATTATTTTCAACTGTGCCATATAGTTCTTACTTTTGCAACAATAGGACAAAGTTTTACCCAATCTTTGAAGCTAAAACTAAGAACATATATAACCAGTATTTATAAATTAAATGAAGCAAAACACCTATAACACATAAAGAAATAAAATACTTACTTGGCTGACATGCACTGGTGTTAAAATCAAGTCCAGAACTCCAGACCAGCCAGCAAATACGCCAAAGGGTATGGCATATGCTAAAGCAATCATCAAAAATCTCAAGTTGCTATGAAAGAATAATAAAACATTACAAATTAAAAATCTAGAATCTAAATTCTTACTCATGAAAAATACAAATCATGTGGAAAGTAGAACACCAGAACCAGAAATAGAAAATATTTGTCAGTTTATTAATAAAAATAATTTTTATTTTTATTGTTCATATTTTTAAAACTGATGTTTCTTAGATAAATAATATTATTTCATGAAATGAATAGGTAGTTCAGTTAAAAACAAGCTCTTATTAAAAGGATAAATTACTATTTCTTCTTATGAACAAGATAGAAGAAAAAGACAAGACTAAAAAGAAAAGTGTGATTTTCTAGTTGTATTCTTTTCAGATAGCAGCTTTCATTTTTGTTTTATTTTAATTAAAGTTTGTATTAATATAAACTTTTAATAGGTTATACAATTCAAATGAATTAAAACTGAAAGGTCATTAAAATATGAGGGAAACTCTCCTTACCCCTATTCCCTCTTCCGACAATTATCTATGTAATCACTTTTCTGGGTAACTGCCCCCAAATATTAATATTTCATAAATATATAAGCCAATATAATTTTCTTTCCCCAACTTTTTCACACAAAATATTCCAAATCTAACAATACCGCAAATCTAAAACACTTCTGTTCCCAAGCATTTTGGATAAGAGATGTTCAACCTATAGCAGTATGTTTAGTTGTTTTTTAAAACTGCCAAACCATTTTCTAGTGTGGCTATACCATTTTTCATTACATTTTGAATATCTGCATTAAATTTACCCATTTAGTATCCCTAATCTGAGAATCCCAAATCCAAAATGCTACAATGAGCATTTGCTTGTGTGTAAAGGAGCTCAAAAAGTTTTGGATTTTGGAGTAGAAACCGTTCTCACTTTTGCTCAGGCTGCTCTTGAACTCCTGAGCTCAAGGGATCCTCCTACCTTGGCCTCCCAAAGTGCTAGGATTACAGGGTGAGCCATCCCACCTGGCCTAAGTGCAGACATTTTTGAGAGCAGTATGGTAATACTTGGCAAACTGAGTTTAGACTATCTTGTGAAACCTGTTATGGGGTCTATTTGCTCAAGAAATTCTTAGGGCTATGGTGTTGTGCATGAGGATGTTACTGCAGTAGTATTCATGGTGATTAATAAATTAGAGGCAAATTAGAGGTACACGATGGGAGTTGGTAGAAAAAAATGTGACAATACCAGAGTATAAAGAACTAGGTATACACATAGCAATAGGGATGCATCTTAAATACAGAGTACTAACATCACAAAGTGAAGCTATCCAGATATAACAATCCTCCTGATGAAAGAAGGTAGCCATCCCCTATGGAGTAGTCTTGTAAAAGAAAAACAAAAGCAAAAATAAAACCTGAATTAGAACATACTTATGACTGACAATTTACAGGAAACACAAAGGACAGAGGAATATGTCAAACTATATGTGGAGGCAATCAATAAAATCTAGACCATAAGGATGAAACAGCTGACTCCTCAACAAATAAATTATAAGGAAAAAGAGAGAGACAGAAAAGAAACTTACAGATACAAGGCTATGATCCAAGTAGATTATAGGCATTCACATCAACTACAATGTGAGGATCCAATCTGAACTCTGATTTTAACAAACTATTTAATCAACCCCAAACTATAAAAACAATCAGAAATTTAAATATTGATTTATATTAGCAAATTACTGTAAAAGCTTTTAGTAAGACAATGGTGTATTTATGTTTAAAAAGTCTTCATATTTTTAACTTGTGCTGCACATATTGAAATATTTCTATGTGAAATGATTTGTCATATGGGATTTGCTTCATGATCCAGGAAAGCAGGAAGTGGATGGACAGAGATGAAACAAGATTGGCTGTTAATTGATAACTGTTGATACTGGGTTCTGAGGGTTACATTATTTTACCATTGTATATTTTGTAACATTTTAAAAGGAAAAGTTAAAAAAAAACAGGGAGGGAGGAGTAAGATGGCGGCTGAGTAATAGCTTCCTTGCAATGGGCACAGTGAGACTGGGGAGAGAAGATTCCAGGCATCTCTGGCTCATGGGATCTGCCCAGAAACATCCCTCTGGGGACACAGGGAGTCAGTGAGACACTTCTGGACCCCATGAGGAGGACAAAAGCAGTGGAGAACTGGCAAGTGGTTGCATGTGTTTGTTTGGTCTAATCCCACCAGCAGCTCTAAGTACAGCAGCAGTGAGACTGCAGACTGGAAAGACCTTACTGGTGAGCTGTTTTTTTTGGCCTTGGCACTCAACTGAACTACCTTGGGACAACTTGGGCGAGAATGTGGAGAACAGGGCCCCCCAGACTGAGCCACTGAGCCACACAGAGCTAATAGTGTATGGCTGTGGGCCGTGCAGAACCATTGTGGGAGAACTGCACAGGCAAGCTCTGCCCTCAGGGTCTCAGAGCAAGGATTGGGCAGGAGACCATGGGCGAGTAATCTAGTGACTGAGCAGACTAAAGATAGGGACTGAGATGCCTTATAGCCTTGGCCTTCAGG